CACCATCACCACCATCACCACCATCACCACCATCACCACCATCACCATCATCATCTATGCCCACTCCCACAGATGCCCACCCCCACACATGCCCACCCCCACACATGCCTACCCCCACACATGCCCGCTAACATCCCTTTCTCCCCACTTTTCCTTCCCACTAGTCCCCCCTTTCCCTAGATCACCCCACTTCCACTTTCTGTGATCTGCACTCATAAAACCTTACATATTTGTATAGAATCTGGAATCCACCAATGAGAGAAAACATGTGATATTTGTCTTTCTGAGGCTGTTTGCTTCTTGTAATTATCTCTAGTTATACCCATCCTACAAGTGACATAACTTAATCCTTCTTTATGGCCAAAAGTCCATTATATATGTAATCCATGTTTTCTTTATTCATTTGTGTTGTTGGACACTGTCTTAGGGTTTCTATCGCTGTGAAGAGACACCATAACCACGGAAACTCTTATAAAGGAGAGCATTTAGCTGGGGATGGCTTACAGTTCAGAGGTTTAGTCTGTTCTCATTGTGGTAGGAAGCATGGCGGCAGGCAGGCAGACATGGCTATGGGGAAGGAGAGTTTTGATCTGCAGGCAGCAGGAAGAGAATAAGACATACTTCCTCCAACAAGGCCACACCTCTTAATAGCACCACTCCCTATGTACCCACAGGGCCATTCAAACCATCACACTGGGCTAGTTCCGTAACTTAGCTATTGTGAACAACATTGCAGTGAATACTGATGTGCAGGTACCTCTGTGAGAGACTGAGCTGAAGTTTTGGGGGTGAATATCCGGGTTTGTATAGGAGTTCTATCTTCAGTTCACCTCTGCCTGCTTTGAGTCTTAATAGCCTAGGAATATCCACGTCTTCTGCAAGATCTGTAAATTCTGAAGAACCTTATCTTCAGTTTTTCCACTGTTGCCTCTCAGAGCCTGGCCTTGTGACCCACATATATCATTCCCTCTGTTATCCATGCCAAATGAAATAAAACTCTTTGACTCCACAGTCCAAACAGTACGGTAGTGCCCATTCGGGGTGACCTTTTTTCATGGCTAATCCATCTCATCTTTACCTAACTCCTCTTCCTGTTGAGGTTCAGGATCTCATTGGTTATTTAAGATTCAATTCTTGCGTAAATTCATCTTTAAAAAAATCACAGGAAAAAGTTTAATTCTTTGTTACTGAATGATCTTTCTCTTAAACCTTGTGTGATAGTCCACTGGGTGGAATAGCACTGTCTTGAGTGTTTCTAGTTCTAGCCTCATCTACAGCATCCTTCCAGTCCAACTGAACACACTGAGGATTTGAGCAGATACCCAACACTACCCAGCACAGTGCACACACATGGGCACACACATACATACACACACACACACACACATACACAGATACACACAAACACACAAACACACACACACACACACACACACACAGAACCAGCAGTTCACCTGGCCTGACTAGGCTGTTTTCTGTCTTAGAGAAATCTACATTCCTATGGTATTAGAAAGCCTTGGGGTTCCTCTTTCTTCTTGTAAGAGAGTGTTCATGCATAGCCAGTTCTTGGTGGCATGGTTTTGTGGGAGCAGAGCAGATGTCCACTCATGTCTCCCCAGCAATGCTTGAATTTGTCAAGGAGCTTTAGGTCAGGCTTCTGATCCCCACACCACCCACCAGTCCTTTCAGCTTAAACTGGAGAACTGGATCCAATAGGTTTCTTATCATCCTATACTGGAGATACTCATCCTGGTCAGAGTTGACTTTGAGCACAAGTCAGTTGCCTCTCTGGCGGCTATGGTTTTCAGCTCCATGAGTTAGGAGCAGCAAGACCCTAAAACGGGAATCAATCACCCAGGATTTTAGCCCTGTCCAGTTAGCCTGCAGCAGAAGGAACTCCCACTGTCTCAACACATTTAGCATTTAATGTATGTCATATTAACTACAGCACCAGCAACAGAGCTGTGCCAAGGTTGACAATGGCCCTTGCTCTCACGGAGCTTATGTCCAGGAGACATGTTGGAGTATTCTACATCTAATGTCAAACACAATCATAATGCCAGCTGAATATTTACCCCAGTTAGCCCTGTGAGGTACATTCTCTATCATCCCCCACTTTACCACCAAGAAATCTGAGGCTTATAGTGATGAGCAATTTCCTGTGTTAGCCACTCACAGTGTCACAGTGACTTTCAACCTCAACATGGCAATCCCAGCCTGGACCAAAGCACTGTGCTGCCTCCTCCTCCGTGACCAGGACAGAAAGCATTCTGAACAATACTGTCTCTGACTAGCCTTCACACCAATGCTTCCTTACTCTTTAATTTTGCAGGTGCAGCCTGCCATACACACCTGCCAAGAACCTCTCACAGGTAGTATCTTAAAACTATTTTTATTCAGAGAAGCATTTTGAAAAACTTTACGAAAAAAAAACAAACCAAACCCAAATGGTGCTGATTGTCACAGACTTCTATTTGTAACATTTAGTAAAACTGTGGTAAGAAGAAAAAAATGAATGGTGGCCAAACTTAGCCTTTCTTGCATAGGACTTGAACCTGAGAAATGTCGCTTGAATTTGACACCGACACCTCAAAAAGGTCCTTTCTCAAATTCTTACATATTTCAAAAGATCTCCCAAGGAAAACAGATGTGCCAGAAACTGAAAGAGCAGACTGACCAGCTGAAGAATAAGGTAATCCTTATTAAGAATGTATGAGAGTGGGGGAGGGGAGGAAGAGAGAAAGAGAGACAGACAGACAGAGAGACAGAGACAAAGAGAGACACACAGAGAGACAGAGAGACAAAGACAGAGAGACAGAGACAGAAAGACAGAGACAGAGACAGACAGACAGAAAGACAGAAGGTCAGAGGGCAACATTAAGGAGCTGGTTCTCTCTTTCCACTTTGTGGGTCAGGGAATCAAACTCAGGTCGCCAAGCTTAACTGAAAGTGCCTTTGCTAACTGAGCCATCTCACTAGCCCTAAACACGTTTCAAGTTTGTCAAAAGCATTAGAAAACCAGCGTCAAACAGAAGGGGCTGTGCTGTGAATGAAATGTTGCTTTTTTTTTTTTTAAACTGCAGGTACAAGAATTTTCCAAAAGAATAAAACAGGACTCTCTCTGCTGTTTGCAAGACATAAGGCTGGTAATGAACTTAATCCAGTTTTTAAATTTGGAAATTCCAGTGGATAAATGCAGAGGCTTTCCGTAGCCATGAATAGTCTGCACAGTGGTAGGGGAGGAAGCGGAGAAGGAAAATTAAAACCACCTTAGCTTCTGGAGCTACATGGTTTAGAATTCTGCTTCTAGATGTATTTATCCTTCTTTCTTCCCAAGGAAGCTATTTCTTACCTCACCAGTTACCATATAATGAACCCAAGACCATGGAATGTTCCAGAGAAGAACATAAAAGCCACTGAAAACGGTGAACCTGTCCATAGTGTATGGGCCCTGGTAGATTTCAACTGTAAAAGTCGCTGGTGAGATGTAAGACTCTGGAGATACTCAACAATGAGGCTTTCAGACCATGACCTTTGCCACACTTTCACACCCTGGCTTGTTATCTCAGCCCATTGGGTGACTAATTCATGTTGTCACCAGAGCAGCTTTGCTGTCCTAGGAAACAGAGATGGAGCAAGGGAGCAAAGGTTGAAACTGGGCAAGATAAATAAGATGAAGATGGGGAAGATGGAGTTTAGGCCACGGGGTCATATCTGGGAACAGCCAGAAGACCTAATGAAGGCTTGAGCAAGATCCAGGGCAAACTGTGCCGCAGAAACCCCACACTATGAACCAAACCCAGGACAGAACCCAGTGATTATTTACTCACTCGTCACATTAATTAACCGATCCAACCTTCATTTGCTCATCACATTGATTAACTGCTCTGTTCATTCAGAAAACACTCATCAAGCACTTTTTAAAGCTTGGTTCAGGCTCCAGAGATTTGGAGAAACACCCCCTTCCTAAGTGTCTTTTTTTCTACTAGGGACAGACTGGCAGCAGCTCATTAATCTGCAGCTTCAGGAGTATGAGAGCCAGTGAGCTGGGTAGGCTAGGGAACAAGAGTATTCCAGACCAAAAAGGAACAGCACATGCAACAGCACAAAGGCTGTATACAACCCACCAGGCTCTCTAATCCACCCGGCTTAGGGCTCAGAGTGCACGTGGAGACCAGAGGAACAGGCAAGGAGCATGTCATGGAAGGAGCTTGGATTTCATCCTGAGTTTGATGGTAGAGCAACAGGAATCGAAGCCAAGGAATAGCAAGTACCATGGGGGTGAGACTGTAGGCAAGGACTGATAGGAAGCCAACATTGGGAAAGTTATAAGGGTCTGAAGGATGGAAAGGGGGTGATAGATTTAAAGGAATGAAATCAAGGAAAAGAGGTGGTGTGGCTAGTTACAGAGTCCTGGTTTGGATTAACTGAAGTCAGAAATCAAAGTGGAGGATCTAGTTCAGAAAGGGTATGGGAAGCAGGGAGAGGCCGGGCGTTGAGGATAGCATAGCTTAGGACATTGAGTTTGAGGTCCCCCCTGAGGACCTGAAAATGAGGCCGTCTAGCTGCAGGAAGTCAGAGCAATGGAGTATTCAGGTCAGGACTGACACTTTGGCAGAGTTGAGGGTTGAAGTTCTGGTGTGGGTAAGATGCCTCCAGCCAAACAGTCTCAGGGTAACAAGTGGAAAGGGTCAAAGATGGATGGAGCCCCAGGCAACAGGGAAACAGGGAAACAAGAAACCCACAAAGGGGACTAAGGAGGAAGGTCTCCACGGGCCAAGCAGAGCTCAAGGAATGGTCAACACAGCATCACATGCTCAAGGAAGGACAGTAACACATGGGTGGGCTCAGCAGCCAATATTCTAAGGGCCCTTGCCAATCCTGAAAACTAGATCTAGAAGCCAGAGCACAGGAGCTGAGGAGTAAAAGATTGACACGGAAGGGTGTCCAAATGGGCAAACTCAGACTTTTAAAGGGCTCAGCAAAGTGGAATTGGTCTGAGTCACTGGCTTTCAGAGGCCCAGTTCCAGAAGCTTCTTTCTGATTGTACAGGCTAGATGGACTTTTAGACTGTAAGTGTCCCCTTCAGGTGTCAGTTTGTGGTCTGAGAGTTACAGGCCCACAGCATTCAGTGTTGGAAGAAGAGCTAGACACAGCTAAAACCAACCTTCTTAGTACAACATAGTGGAAGACATTCAGACTTTAAATATATGGTCTTAGACATACTGTAGCATGCCCTTCATCTCAGTGCTGTTACAAAATTAAATGAAGATATGTCATGTCCTGTCTTCTGAAATATGGTTTAAATACCAAGATCCAGTTGATCTTTCAGACTGAGTCTTAGTATATAGCCCTGGTTAGCCTAGAATTCATTGTATTAACCAGGCTGTCCTTGAACTTGATTCTCCTGTCTCTTCATCCATATATGGAGGAGGATCATGGGTATGCACCACCATGCCTGCTTTCCCTTTTTCTTATCCTCCTTATTTCAATCACCTTGTCTCTTCTCATGGCTCTCGCTCACTGTCATTTTCCTGCCTCCAGCTCCCAATGGCTAGCTCTCACTTTTTACCTGTGGCTCTCGGTGTCTAGGTTCATCTTCTCTTGGACATTCATGCTCACTGTGAACTCTCCCACGTTGAGAGCTTCTACACAAACACACACACACACACACACACACACACCCCACTCCCACTCCCCACCCTGGCCTGACAGAGCAGAGGAAATGCAAGCCCTGGGGCCTAAGGGAGCAGCTGCAGCTACAGGAGTAGCTGAGGGCACCTGTGGCTTTTGGTAGAAGGATGTAGTTAATCTGTGACGGATGGCTCAAGAATGAGCAATCAGAGAAACTGAGACTCTCCCCAACTCCTCTCTCCTGCTGTTATCTTCTATTGATGAGAAACAACTGGAGCCAGAGAAGAAGGCTCCCGATGCTGCAGTCGAGGCAGGGCCAGCCTCCTGCAGAGAAAGACAGAGGTTAGCCGTAGGGAAAAAATGGAGAAAGCTCACCAGGTCAGCCATATGAATACCCAACTGTCAATAGGTTTCCAAAGTCACGTCTATTCATTTTTAGTATCTTTTTAAAAGACAGGGCTGGCTTTGAACCCACAAAGATCCATCTGTCTCTGCCTCCAAAGTGCTGGGATTAAAAGCGTATCACAATGCCTAGTCATTTCTATATTAATAGGAATTTGCAGTAACAGCAGCTACCACCTATTGAGTGTGCACAGAGAGTACTGACTTAAGATCGTTTGACTTAACAGGTTTTCAACTTTACATGATGTGGATGTGACAGCCACTCACATGGCTGAGATTCTGGGTGAGGGACCCACAGATCCAACTAAAGCCAAAGCTTCAAGTTAAACCACGGCCTTCATTGTCACCGTAGATACTTGTGTTCACTCTCACAGTGAACTTTTGAGTTTTATGGAATCATTCTCTTCTCTCTTCACTCCAACTAATCTTAGAATTCATTCCAGAACTCCAGGCGAGGCTTGTTTTCATTAATTTCCTGGTGGGAATTAAAAGGATCCATTGAGTAGGCTTAATATGCATCAAGTCCAGCTCTTTCCACTCACAGCATTTTAACAGGAAATCGCGATGCCAAAATATTTTAACGATTCATGTTTGGAAACAGCATCCTGAGGTATTTTTCCCTGAGGCCTCATTTCAGTTTTTAGAAAAATAAATGAAAGCTGTCTACCTTAGGTCAATATTGTGCAATTAGCCAGCAGCAATTAGTTTAATGTTGGTTTTCCCCCCAGAGGCTTTTTTTTTTCTATACATAAGAGAGTAAGTGTATTTGTTTTCCAAGGAATTACTCATTTTGGCAGCTATTTTCAAGACAGGCCTCTGTCCACATTGAGACCAAAGTTATACAATGTTTATTTATATCCTAGCTACAACCACACTGTGTCTGGTATGAATATAAATCATAAGAGTTTGAACTGCAATTATATCCCATATACGGGGAAGCGATCTCGCTGGGCTAAGGGAGGGACCCAGTCTTTCCCCACACTTATTTGAAGCCACATCAGGACAAACAAGGGCCGATAGCTCTCTGTCATGTGGCTAGCAGGGCAAGGAGTGGCATCCTGTGAAACTTCAGGGTCTTGCAGAATACAGAATCATCATAAAGATCCACCCAGTGGCTAATATGGATGATGTCTCTCTGCAAGGACAAGAAATTGGCAAACTTGTTGAGTAATCATTGCTTCTTCAGCAGATGCGCCTTTATTGAAACCGCATTACCTTTGGAGCCCCGTGTGGTGCTGCACCCCTGTAATCTCAGCACTCAGGAGAGGGAGACAAGGAGATCCAGAGTTCAAAGCCAGCTTTAGCTATAAAGTGAGGTCAAGGTCAGGCTGGACTACATAAGATCCTTCCTCAAAGTCGAAAGCGAGCAGCTACAGTCACACACACCTATCACCTTGCATTTGGGAGATGGAAACGAAAGGATTAGCAGTTCAAGGTCATCCTCAGCTATTCTGTGAATTCCAGGCCAGCCTGGGCTAAATGAGGCTCCATCTCAAGTAAAGAAATGCATAAATACATTTGAAAACCAGGATGTATCTCAGTGACAGTGTACGCAGTAACCTAGCATTTACAAAGCCCTAGCAACACACATAACACACACACACACACATAGAGTAATATGCAAAAATAATTTTCGTATCTGATGTGTCTTGCTCATTAGAATCTATACAACGTGTTTGTATTTTTTTACACATTAACTGAAGAATCTGGAGTTAAGACATGTGTCTACCTGCATTAATCCCTTTCCCTGATATTTCCAGAATATGATCTTCTCTTCCATTTTATAGAAACATCATACATTTCCCCCAGAATGTATTTCCTGTATCTCCATGTCCTGTTTTCCTTCAGTTACGATCTATTGTCCAGGCATGTCCTTGAGGCAATACTTTACGATACCTGGGGAGCTGCCCTGGTGGCTGGAATGAGACCGTCCTCCATAGGGTCACGTATTTGAGCACTTGGTCCCCAGATGGCGGCTCTGTTTCTCTGTTTGGGGAGATTTAGAAGGTACAGCCTTGCTGGAGGAAGCATGTCACTGCAGGCTTTGAGAGTTTATAAAGATTTGTGTTATCCTTGGTTCCCTTTTTGTTGTTGTTGATGCTTTGGCTGCCACGCTTGCTGCTTGCTGTTATACTGGATACCATCCCATGGAACTGTAAGCCCAAGTAAAGCATTCCTTCTGTAAGTTGTCTTGGTCAGGATGTTTTAACCCTGTCCCAGAAAATTGAGTAATTGCCTAGGCAAGCACTCTACCCCTGAGCTGTCTCCAGCCCTCACTTCTTTTTTCTGAACTTATGGTCTCTTGTCTCCGTTTTCCAGTTTTAAAAAATTGTTTGTATGTGTGTGTGTGCGGGTGCACGTGCACGCACACATGCACACACACGTGACTATGTGAATGTGTGTATATGAGTGTCATAGCATGCACATGGAGATCAGAGGAGAACTTTTGGGTATTGATTTGCTCCTCCTCCTTGGTGAGGCCGTGTCTGTGCCAAACTAGCTGGTCTGAAGGTTCTGGGTGACGCTCCCACCTCATTGCAGGTGTTCTGGGATTACAGCTGTGCACTGTCACATGGTGACTCAAGTTGTCAGGCTTGCGTGGCAAGTACTTTTCACTGTTGGGCCATCTTGCCAGCTCTGACTCCCATATTCTGTTTCCTATTTAACTCGAAGCTATTTAGATGAGTGTTGGATAAAATATGATCTTATATAAATATGTACAGATGTTAATAAAAGACTCGTTAATTAGATAATTTGTAGATTTTTATTACCCTCCTATAAAATTTACATAACAATTATTTCCTCAGAATCCCAGCTCTTAGAACTGTGAGAGTTGGGGCTGGGGCTGGGGCTCACTGAGAAACCACTTCCACTGAGGTTCATTTGGGTTTGATCCTCAATGCAAAACTGGGACCCCTATCAACAACTCAGCAGAAAGACTTAGCGTCAAACTCATGAGGAGCAAATATCTTCCTTAGCAGCTGGCCAGATGGCCCAGTGAGTAAAGACATATGTTGTCAAGCCTGATGACTAAGTTTATACCCTGGAACCTGCAGATAGAAGGAACCAGCTCCCACAAGTTGTCCTTTGACCTCCACACAAGTGCTGTGGCACACTTGAACACAGTCACAGAAACACACACATACTGACGATGCTGCTGCTGCTGCTGCTGCTGAAGCCAACATGAAGGACTTGACATCATCAGACCCAGAGAAGCACTAGGTTTATCATGCCAGGGTGGAGCAGGGATGTTGGAAGCAGTGAGTGAGGATTAGTGCCTGGAGCATTGAGATGAAACTCTAAACAGGATGCTACTCAGGGCAGATGTGCTGTTTCCTTCCTGCCATCAATAGCACGGCCCAGGTCCTATTGATGAGCTGTTGTAACCGGCTGGAAGGCCGACTATACAGTCCAGAAGACACCTGCTTGTTTATGTCTACTCAGAGAGGTGGAAGGTGACATTTTCAAGTCCCTACTTCAAGACATTAAAGGGAAAGCTGATGTATGTGGTACATCAGGACTCCCTCTCTTCCTTGGGGAGGGGGCTCTGCAGTCATTCTGGAAGTTGTGGCATTCCATTCCTCTTCAGCCTCAGATGAGGCAATACAGCAGCCAACAGCCTGCCATGGCACCAGGAGAAAGGACATTTATGCACATGTAGACTCCCAACTCATGGACATGCCAGATTTTGTTTTAATCCTTCTTGGCTTGCCAAGGCCTTATGAGTCATATTGTTTAAAATGGAGCCAGCTTTTCGTGATTGGAAGCTATTTCAAGTGTTAATTTTTGAAACATTTTATTAGCTTAGGATCCAACGCTATAGTTCAAAATGACAAACCACTCAAGAGCCTGCTCAGCGGGGTGAATGAGGACACTCTTGTGGATTCCGCCTGTGGACATGTGTGTGGGGGGATATGTGTGCTTGAGGGCAGGTGCCCTAGGAGGCCAGGGGCACAGGATCTCCCTGGAGCTAGATGAGCCACATTATGTGGGTGCTGGGAACCAAATCAAACTCAGTTCCTCTGTAAGAGCAGCTAGTGCTCCTAACAGCTGAGCCATCTCTTCTACCCCATACTCCCTTTTTAAATCAAAAATGGCAAGCTCAGGAAAGCAATGCTTTCCTCTGACTCCATTTCTGTATTCTGTTTCCTAGTTCTTTAGCATTTCCTGTACATGAAAGCTTGAGAATCAACCACCAGCAGATTTCTATGCTTTTTGGTTTTTAGGTTTTATATCTCATGTACTTTATCAACTGGGAGTCCTCCCAACCCTTGTGTTTAATTTTTTTTATTATTTACTTCATTTATATTTTAAATATTATCTCCTTTCCTGGTTTTCCCTCCAAAAACCCCATCCCATCCTCCTTCCTCCTGCTTCTATGAGGGTGTTCCCCCACCCACCCGCCCACTCCCAAATCCCCTCCCTGGCATTCCCCTACACTGGGGCATCAAGCCTTCACAGGACCAAGGGTCTCTCCTCCCACTGATGCTTGACAAGGCCATCCTCTGTTACATATGCAGCTGGACCCATGGGTCACTCCATGTGTACTCTTTGGTTGGTGGTTTAGTCCCTAGGCGCTGGGGGTTGGGGGGAGGGGTCTAGATGGTTCATAATGTTATTCCTTTTATGGGGCTGAAAACCCCTTCAGCTCCTTTAGTCCTTTCTCTAACTCCTCCATTGGGAACTCTGCTCTCAGTCCAATGGTTGACTGTGAGCATCTATCTCTGTATTTGTCAGGCTCTGGCAGAGCCTCTCAGGAGACAGCTATATCAGGCTCCTGACGCAAGCACTTCTTGGTATCCACAATAGTGTCTGGGTTTGGCGACTGTACATGGGATGGATCCCCAGGTGGGGCAGTCTCTAGATGGTCTTTCCTTCAGTCTCTGCTCCACACTTTGTCTCTGTATCTCCTCCCTCGGGTATTTTGTTCCCCCTTCTAAGAAGGACCAAAGTATCCACACTTTGTTCTTTCTTCTTTTTGAGCTTCATGTGGTCTGTAAATTATATCTTGGGTATAATTGTTTGTTTGTTTGTTTGTTTTAATGACAGGGTCCTACTATCTGACATGCCGAACCCACTCCATGTCTGGTATTTAGGATGTAAGCTGTAGATACTAGGATTCAAGCCAGACTCAGGATAAGATTCTACAAAGGTTGGAGCAAGGAATCCTGCTTGGTACTAGGGACACAGAAATGGCAACCCTTTGAAGCTGCCCTTTAAATAAGTGAGACTTTGTCAGGAATGACAGCCCAGGCTGTCTTAGAACTTACCACAAAGTCAAGGATATCCTCACACTTGCAGAGTGCAGGGATTGCAGACAGGAGCTACCACACCCAACTGAGCCTTTTGTTTTTCTAACCTCAATTATCAGCACAATTCAGACCCCATTAACATTCTGAGAAACTGAGTCATGCAAATAATTGCCTTCAGTTGACTCTTTAGTTTTCTACAGTATTGAAGACCCGGCCTGAAGCAGAGATTCAAAATCTAAGTGAGGGTTTTATCGGCTAAAGCCAAGATATCATGTAAACATAAATCCTGCATCAAAGTATGTCTACTTCCTCCAGGGACCTGCTTCCTGACAAAGTCTCACTTATTTAAAGGGCAGCTTCAAAGGGTTGCCATTTCTGTGGCCCTAGTACCAAGCAGGATTCCTTGCTCCAACCTTTGTAGAATCTTATCCTGAGTCTGGCTTGAATCCTAGTATCTACAGCTTGCATCCTAAATACCAGACATGGAGTGGGTTCGGCATGTCAGAAGCTCATATCTCAGTGCTGCCCAAGATGCCAATTCTGCTGGCATGGTACCCCACTGGTCCTGAACTTGAGTTGGCTTCAGGTTCTCAGCATGATGTCCCACTGAGCCTGAACTTGAGTTAGCTTTAGAACAGTGGGAGGGAGCCTGAGGAAGCCCAGCTATTGCCCAACATGCCTGGATTTGCCTTTGCAACTTTGGTAAGTTCTCAGCAACTGTTATGAAGTGATGACACTCGCAAGCCCGATGTGTATCCCTAAGAGATAGTCTACTTATAACACTATTCGTGAAGTAATTTATTCATTCTTATAGCAATTATTGGTAAATGCTAGGCGCTTTTCTACGGATATAGGATAGGACTGAAAATCACCTGTCACAGAGATGTGTATACCTCTGTGAGGAAGAGTCATTCTAAGTAAACAGGATCAGAATGATTGCAGAATGATAAAGAGCTTCAAGGGGTAATAATAAATACACTCTGCATGGCTCTGAAGCCAGACCACCTCAGTTCAAATGTTCGTTCCAGCATTTATCTGCTTTGTGATCTTGGAACAGTTACACAACCTTTCTATGCCTCAGTTCCTTCCTCTGGAAAATGGGGATAATAATGCCTGACTGGCAGGGTTGTTAGCACATTTAAATGAGTTAATGTATGAAAGGCACTTAAAACAGGGCAGGGATCCGAGTAAGCATATCAATTGGGTGATAGCTTGTCATGCCTATTAAGTAATGGGATATGACCAAAGCTAAATGTGGGAGACGAGCATCCTAAGGGACAGATGGTGGCCAGGGGCATTTAAACTAAGTCCTGAGATGAGTGAGACCCCAACTAGGTGAAGAGTCTAGGGCATGGGACAGGAAGTAAACGTACCTTGGAGAGTTTAGGTTCAGACTTCTTTGAGTCATTCTATGCCTAATGGATCCTTCTGTGTGTTTCTGCAGATGACTAAGGAGCACGCTGGCTGTTTTCCAGGGCCCTGGGGCTCACGAGGAAGTGAGGTGACAGGGCTGCCAAGGGGAGGGCCACAGGAGGCCACCTCCAAGGAGCTCAGTGAGCTGGCCCCGAAGATGTGAGTCCTCTCCCAGTGTCCCCCACGACTTGGTATCAAGCCTGACATAGGACGGGGTTTGGATGTGTGTTTGGATGGGCTCTGTCTACATCTGGTCACACAGCCCAGAGGCAGAGGACAAGAGTCCCACACAGCAAAGAATGACAAAGGTCAAGTAGCTGCAGGACACACACAATGTTGTGTCATAGGTAGCTTCTTCTACAGGCCAAGGAGCACTAAATTAAATTCCCATGAGACTTCCACGAGCTGGAGAAGGAAATTCATGCCTATTAAGAATTAACATGCACACTGCTTCTTCTTCTTCTTTTTTTTTTTATTGAAAACAAAAACAAACAAGGCTGAAGAGATGGCTCAGTGGTTAAGAGCACTGGCTGTTCTTCCAGAGATCCTGAGTTCAGTTCCCAACAATCACATGGTGACTTACAACCATCTGTAATGTACTAACATACATAAAACAAATCTTTAAAAAGTTATTTATAAACAAAAAAACAAACCACACCAAAACAAATAAACAAATGAACAAACAAACAAACAAACAATCCCAGCTGTTTACCAAAATAGGCCAAGTATGGCTGTAGCTGCCCAGGATTGAACTGATCAGATGGCCATTAGGCCACTGTGGCCCTGGGAGTATCACCTGGGAACTTCCCGTTGCCAGGCCTATGGTGTGTGCCTGTCATTCTTGCTACTCTGGGAGCAGATGCAGATGGGTCCTAAATCCAAGACTGGCCCAGTTTGTAGTGTGAGTTTTGGGCCAGCCAGGGCAACTTCATGAGCACCTGATTCAAGATGTTTAACAATTGGAAAAGACTCGGGGTGTGGTTTAGGAGTGGAGCACAGAGTTAGTATGCAAGGAGGCCCAGGTTGCACCCCCAGTGCTCAAACCTTCAAATCCCAAAACCCTATGGATGAATATGACGGTGGACGTTGGGATTGTCAAGATCACTCAACTCACTTGCTTTTCCTTCCTTCACACTCCTCTTCTCCCTTTCCATCCTCTTCCTCTTCTCCCTCCACTTTTTTGGTTTTTGTTTGTTTGTTTTGGTTTTTAGTAGGCATTGATCCCCAGGGTCTCTGCATTCTAAATTCAGTTCACCAATGAGTCCTACCTCTGCCCCAGGCTCTGGACCTTGTGCGCAGCCTGGTGTTAGAGGTAGTTCTGCTGGTGTAGCTATTTTCCACCCTTTCAGTTCTGGAGAAACCTGGGGGTACCTGGATCTAGACCAGGGCTTCCCAAGTTCTCTGTACCTCATCTTGTTGAATGTGGAGATTGATTCAGTAGGTCTGGTGTGAGCCCATGCCTCTGTGGTTGCAGCAAGCTCCCAGGTGAGTACCAACTGTGCTGATTCCCATCTAGGGGGACCATTTGAGTAGTGAAGGTTCAGGGGTCATTTCTCTGTGAATTAATTGGAAATTCCTGGATTAAGTACCCTGGATCTGTATCATGGTTGGTTGTGATAAAGACCATGATCAAAAGCAACGGGAGGAGGAGAGGGTTTCTTTCACTTCACAGTCCATCACTGAGGGAAGTGAGGGCAAGAGCAGATGCAGAGACCATGGAGGAATGCTGCTTACAAGCTTGCTCCTCATGGGCTACCCAGCCTCTCTTTCTCTACACACACACACACACACACACACACACACACACGTATATAATTCATGACACCACCTCCCCAGGGATGTGGGCTGGGCCCTCCCGAAACAATCATTAATCAAGAAAATGTCCCACCAGCTTGCCTACAGGCCAGTCTGATGGCAGCATCTTGTTCATTTAGAGTCCCTCTTTCCATATGACTGTGATTTGTATCAAGTTGACAAAAATAAGCCAGCACTAATTATAATAGGCAGAAAATAATAATAATACAATAATTGTGCCTGAGTTTGAAAAGACTTGTTGCTGAGGAGGAATATTTTAGAAAGGTGAGACATACCTGGGACAAATGACAAGAAATAAAACCCAGGTCTCCCAAATTGTTGGAGGACACCTCCCTCCCTCCTGCTACTGTAGATTAAATGTTAAGTGCAGGGATGCCTTTGTAAGCGTAGTGGTAATAAAAGAAAAGAGAGGGAAATGGAAGGGGAGAACATTACTTTTAAAATTATAAAAATGAGACCTGACCCAGGTAGTGCATGTATACAAGCCTGACATTTGGGAGGTAGAGGCAGGAGGATCAGGAGATCAAGGTTAGCCTGGGATACATGAAACAGCCTGTCTCAAAAAACAATAAAGAAATAAATACTTATTACAGATATAATCAGAAAACGAGAAAAGTATAGAGAAAAAAAAAAACAGCCAGGAAGGGCAACACATTCCTGGAAAGCAAGACAGGAGGATTGCTGTAAGTTTGGGGCTAGTCTGGTCTACACAGTGAGTTCCAAGCCAGCTAGGGATATACAGCAAGAACCTTTCTCAAAAATAAATTTCCCTGAGAAAAGTCAAGTCTGTATTGTCCAGCCTCCTAGCCTTTCCTCTGTGCATGTGCCCTTCATGTCACATGACTTTTGTCAGGTAGCGTCAAGTTGTTTGCAAGCTTTTGTCCAGGGTCGACTAGTTTCCTAGAGCCACATCTTAGCATTGTAGGGAATGAATCACAGTGCACACAGAACCTTCTCATGAAGCAGGTAGGTACCAGGTACAGGACTCACCACTACACCGGAATGTCGCTCTCCCACCTCAGTCCACCCAATTGTCTTTCCTTCCAACCATTGCTAAGCTGGGAAGTAAAACCTGGCATCTTCCTTTCATTTTTTGACTGTTTGTGAAGTTCACCAGTGTCCATCAGTTTATTGACTATTCACACTTTCTCTTGGACACCAACCCAGTACTTATATTTGTAACACCAAAACCTCAGTTATTGTTATTTTTTAAAAGCCAGATAGTTAAGAAAATAGGAAGAGTGTGTGATGCTGGTGTGGAGATGGTTATTCTGCTCAGCACTCTGACAAGGAAAGCACAATTGGAGTAAAGAGCACGTGCTCGCACAGTGTCACGCAGTGAAGGGTCAGTCACAGCTCAGCAACTTGCCCTTCTGTGAGCAACCTTGTGATGGTCTCTGTGTTAATTGTATTTCTCACTAGAGCTGGAGTACGGGGTCACAGAGAAGGCTTATGAAAAGCACCTGGAACACAGTGGGAAGTCAAACACTGTAGCTGTCTCCACAAAGGAAAAAAAAAATAACAACACTGAAGCCCTCCAAAAAAATGAATGAGCAAATAGAACATGAATTAAAAAGTTGTAGGAAAGAAAACCAAAAAATAATCACAAGGGAAGTATTCACCTTCTTTGATACTAGAAAAGACACTAAGCAACATGATTTGCATCCTCCAGCCCCCACGTTAAGTGAGAAAAAACATTTTCAAGTGATAATTCTTGGTATGAGAAACGTGTGGTCAAGCTGAGCCGCCCACGTTGTTGGCAGCTGTGTAATGCAATCGAGAAACTTGTAGAAAGCAATCTGGCAAAATGTGTCATCACATAAGCACACTCAAAACCTTTGGCCCAGATGTTTCCTCAGGAAGTAATTCAGAATGTGGAAAAACCTACATGGCCAGTAATGCTTGGGCCAGCATCATTTATAATGGTGGAAAAGGGACATTTATGTTCTGTTTACATGAAGGGTAAGGCCACAGCCAAACTACACGGCAGGGGCTTCATCCTGTTGTGCAGTTTTGTGTGTGTAAGGTGTTTATGTGTGTTTCCAGCATTTAAGATACAAGTAGCCCCTAGATCTTGTAGTAATTCACATATGAATACATTTCTTCAGAAAATAAACAAACAAAAAGAAAACAAAAATCAGCTTTGAGCTGGAGTAGCCAGTGGTCAGACTGGTTTAAAACTTATCTTCTAGAGGCCAGGTAAAAGTTCTAATTGTGTAAACCTGGTGACTCAAGTTTGATCCCTGGAACCCATGTAAAAACACAGATGTAGTGACTTTCCTATAGAGAGATCGGTGGTAGAGACAGGAGAGTAGCCTGTGCAGGCCGGCTAGCCTGATCTACACAGGGCATCCACAGAAATAAGAGAGACCTGTCTCTGCAAGGTGGAAGGTGGGGAGGGACACTTACAGCTTGTCTTCTGACCTCCACACACTCACTGTGGCATGTGATACACACACACACACACACACACACACACACACACACAGGCACACACACACAGGCACACACACACAGGCACACACGCACACATGCACGCACCTGTAAATACTAGGGATACAGACACCTGCAGCCATGCCATGCATTTGATAGAGGTTTGGGGATTCAAACTCAGATCCTCATGCTTGTATTCTTACCCACTGAGCCATCTCCCCAGCCCCAGGAGAGACTTTTGCTCACCACAGATAGTGGTGCGAGTGAGAGCTCAACTTCAGCACGGCCAGAGATACCCAAGCTGGGCGATGTTCAACTGACGATGACTGCAGGTGCTGAGGCGTGTGCTTCCTTGGGCTACGTCAGAATCACCTGGGAGACTTTAAAGCATGGCTCCTACAGAACCAGCCCCTCCTAGCAATGCTGACACAGTAGGTGGGGTGAGGCGTGTTCATTGTTTTAAAAACTGCAAGGATTTTGATGCTCTCTGCAGCAAAGAACCAGCAATTGTACATTTTAAAGGTGAAGGAGCCCAGCCCCTTGATCCAGGCTTCAGTAGCTAGCCAATGGCTTGATTTAGGTATCATCCATTCTCACTGGAATTATGAACTCACCACTGCCTCCCACCGATCCTCAGGAAGTCCCCACCCACCAAGGAGTGGGCACCAGAAAGCACAGTGTGGATGGCATGTCACCATCTTTGCACATCTCAGGCACTGGTAAGATTCTCCTGGGCCACAAAGCGCCTGCAGCTCAGCATGAAGCTCAGACCTTGATGACCTGGCTACATCAGGACCAGAGACAATTGCCAGGCAACTCTTACAGACAGGAAACAGAGCCCGGGGGGACCCGGAGAGAGGAGCCCACACTTAGCACCTGTCTCAGTGTGGACAGAATCTCTTCTGGCCTGATTTATGCAAGGGAAGCTTCCTTCTTCCTTCAAAGTTACTTTGAAATCTGGAGTGCAGTTGAGAGAGAATACTTCCCTTCCCCATGCTCACCTTACTTTCTAAGTCCTCCACCCTTTACCCCAGGATGAACAGATTTGGGAAGTTGTAGGGATTTTCTTTTGTTGCAAGGATGAAATGAATCTATGCTACGGATTTATAGCTCTACCCCAGAAGAAGGTTGGCTAGCCTTCCAGTTCAGCAGGAGACCCTGTCTCAAGGCAATAAGGTGAACAGCAGTAGTCTCTGCTTGCATATGCATTGACTACTCCTTCATGTCGCACACGCACACTCACAGGCACACACACACACATACACAGTCTTTCCTATTGGGTCTCACCGGAAGCAAGCTTCATCCCTCTTCTCTGGGCAGACCTTTGATTTCCTAAGGAAGAAGTCCTCCAGCATTAGCAAGCTGTAAGCTATAAAACCAGCTTTGAAACACCCACTGGGACAACAGCTGGCCTATGTGGGTGGTTTCAGGACATTTGTTTGTAGCTCCTATCAGTTAGGAGAGGCACCACCTCCTAGTGGTTTACCTCAGCTGCTCTACCTGGAAAGGTCAAGAGTCAAGGAGTGAGGAACTGTTTTGCAACCACTGTTTAAATACACAACAAGCTCTGATAAGAGTGGCTGAGAGTCTGGAGGACTGTAGCTTCCTGTTAGAAAGCCATCCTCGACAGGAGCAACCTGTCACGAGTGCTTTACTAAGTCTCTGGCCCTAGAAACAGAAACTGTGGGGTTGAGCTCCAAAGCCCCATGCATTGCCTGGCATGGACTAGTGAGAGCTTCAAGCCTTGGGTCTGACTGGAGCTCTGATCACTCCCTGAAACATAGGGCACCACCAAGCTTACTCACCCGGGCAGCCCGGGCTTGTGATTTTTAGTGAATTAACTAGCAATCCAGATTTGGGAATCCTTAAAAAAAAATTTTATTAGGCCTAATGAAATATTTTGACATTTATAAAAGATTTTGATTGCTGGGTGTGGTGACACACCTTTAATCCTAGGAGAAGGAAGGAGAGCCCTGTGAGTTAGAGATGAGTTTGGTCTACATAGTTCCACAAAGAGACTCTGACTCAAAAAAAAAAATTGATTAAGTGTTAAAGTATCAATTGTTTCTTTTCCAAATTCCTAGTTTAAGTCCAAAAAAAAAAAAATCAGCCCTGGCTGGGACTAGTGTTTCAGAGTGAGTGTTTAAAAGGAGAAAGTTGGGGGGAAGAAAATGTAAAATCACACATGTGACGTCGTGACGTCGCTGTGGGAAGTCACTGTGTACAACATGGCTTGGGAACTGGAATCATAACCTCCATAATAGTCCTGAGAAATTATTCATTGAAGAGAAAGCCGTGCAGTCTTCATTGAAGTCCCCGTTCACTGTCGTCAGCGGGTTGCAGTCTTTATGAAGTCTGTTGATTACCAACGGTAAATGACCTAAGTGTACATAATGCACGTGTATTCTGATGGGATATATTAATACACACCCCGAGTGCTGTGTCTGATGCAGGCCTCGGGATTGGAGAGCGTTAGCTGCTTTGTCTAGCTGGAAAACGGCCTTCTCCAGAAGAATTGCTCTTGGCTCTTCTGTTTGACCAGATCTGAGTGTGGAGAGAAGTCTAAAAGCAGCAGAGAAATGTAATCGATGCGCTGGCCTGAACTCACTTGAACGATATCCAAGCTTTCCACTCAGAGAGCAAGCAGATGTTCACAGGCCTCAGAGGCAGAGGGTGGAGACACAAAATGAGGTGTGAGGAAATACATGACTCAGGAGGAGGACATGTTTTTCCAAGAGTAGGAAAGGGCTGGAAAGTGTCTGGCTTTCCAGTCCTATCCTCAGAAACCCCAAATGGGGTCCTCTCTCTCTGAGCATCAGGCTTAGGCACAGCTGGAGGGAGGGAAATCTGTTTGCTCAGCAGTGCCGCAAGTTCTTCAACCAGCCCTGTCCCATCTGCCCCATGATGTCCTAGACACTGTGCCTTTCACAATAGAAAGTACACTCTCTCTCCTCCAGGGCTGTTACTGTATTCCGGGGCTGAACAAGAGAGTTGTTAAGAGCTGTTATTAATTAAAATTCTTTTGGAGAAGTTAGAATCTGTGTGGAGGGAGGTTAAAATTACACCAGCCAGAGAAGTCTCCTGACAGTAGTTGTGTCTTTCTGATGCCCCCTGGTGGCCATATACTCTAGGCTCCCAGCCATTAGCCCCTGGGACAAAACCCACTTTGTTGGACTCTGTTTAGCTTGTACTTAGAGCAATGTGAACCAGTGCTAATAATGTATAGCATGCCTTTCCCCCAAAACAAGAATTGTTCTGAGACAAAGGCGTGATAGCTTGACCTGAAGTCCCAGTACTGAAGGTTGGAGACAGGAATATTGCTGTTACAGGCCAGCTTGGATTAGTGTGAGATCTTGCCTGAAAAATAAAACCAACCAACCAACAAAAAAATCCACAAACACACACACACACACACACACACACACACACACACAATTTTTATATAGCATTATGAAGAAGACACCAATTATTATAATTCTGTACTGTAAATTCCTTTTTAAAATGTGTATTCTTTTTACATTATAAAGTAGTGTATGTGTGTGTGTGTGTGTGTGTGTGTGTGTGTAGGCATGTGCCATGCCCTATATGTGGAGGTTAGAGGTCAACTTGTAGATGTCAGTTCTCTACCTACATTGTAGGTTCTGAGGATCAAACTTAAGCTACCAAGTTTGGTGGCAAGCAACCTTACCCACTGAACTATCTCATCAGGCTGGAGAATACCAGAGAAATGTAAGTCTTCAGTTTACCCATGCCAGTGCTAAATTTTTGAGACTTTTTTTTTTTTAAGAAAACAGAAAATGGAGAAAAGGGGCCACAGAAGGACCAACTGTGGGAAGTTTTCCAGTAGCATCCCTGAAAAAACACTGGCCCAAGATTCGCCTCTCGGTAAGCTGGGGTGGGCTGGGAGTACATAGCTGTCAGTGATCCTTCTCTGTTGGATCTGCTCACAGTGAGTCCCAGCTTGCCATCTGCCATTGTGATGGCACAACATTTGACTAGGATGGTGTTTGTTTCCCTTTTTCAAAACATGAAGAACTAGTAATGGGCTGTTTAAGGAGTGGTTAAGCAGAGTAAAGTGCCAATATATGCTTCTGGACTATGCCTGGCACCACACTCTGAGCTGGACCCATAACTGCACCTGGTAAGGTCACCAGCCTTGTGGAAGGAGGGGGGTGACTCATCCCCATGCATTGTGCAGAGGCTGGGGGTCGGAGCAGGCAAAGACGGCATCACGAGTATGTGAGACTCAGCGACGTTAGTCATGTGAGCCTTGCTCTGTAGACAGTTTAGAGCTGAGAAACATACCCTGGCCAGACCACTGAGGGTGATAGAGAGGTGACCCAGAGGCCTGCCTGTGCAGGCAGCTCCCGAGCTTGCCAGCATCAGTTCCTCATAGCTGAGCTGGAAGTTCAGGCCAGAGAGCTGATGTGCATGTTCCCTGTGCCTAGAGCCTTAAGGGGACTCAGCATCCTGTTAGATCCCACTTGGTTATATACCTCTCTAGGGAAGGTATATTCTCAAATAGGAGCTTTGGAAGACTGGAAAGATGTCTCAGCAGTGATGAATCTTGGTCTTGCAGAGGATCAGGGTTCGGTTCCCAGCACTCAATTTTGGGAGGCTCACCAGAAATCTAAAGTCCTGTTCTGGTCTCTGTGTGCATGTGCACGCATTGTCCCCAAACTCCTGGCCTCTCCTGCTTCAGTTAGGCAGTTAGGATGACAGGCAGGTGGCATGTGTCCCCTTCTTGTTGCTCTCATTGATGGCGCAGAGGCTTGAACTCAGCGCTTCACACATGCTAAGCGGGTGCTCTGCCACTGACCCACGGTCCAGCCCTTGTTATTTTTAAATGAAGTAATCGAGTTTTTGTAATGTCTCAATTTAAACTTAAAAAAAATCCTCAGAACTGTTCATTTAGCCTGAGGAAGATCTGGACACTGGTGTTTTATACTTTACATATCAAGATACCTTCCCAAGTCTATCTGCAGTTGGGACGAAATATTCTGAGGTGATTTTTTATTAGGGAAGGCTTTTTGTTTTTTGAGACAGGGTCTCATGTGGCCCAGGCTGGCCTCAAAGTTTCTGTGTAGCTGAGGTCAGCCTCGAACTCCTGATCCTCCTGCCTCTGTCTCCCAAGTGGTAGTATTACGGGCTTTAGCAGCCATGCTGACTTTATGACATATAATATGATTTATGTTCTTATATATAGTAGATTAAAAACATAGATGAACACAGTTGTTTTTAAAAATACATTTATTTATTTGAGGCATGCACAGCCCTGGCTATCCTGGAACTCACTATGTAGACCAGGCTGGCCTCAAACTTGCAGACATCTGTCTTCCTCTGCCTCCCAAATGCTGAGATTAAAAGCATGGACTACCATGCCTGACTTACTCGTTTTTATGTGTATGAGTGTTTGACTGTGTGTATATGCCCACCACATGCATATCTCACAGTGGTGGAAGCCAGGAGAGGGCATAAGATCCCCTGGAACTGGGGTAACAGACAGTGGCGAGCAAGCGCCCATTTGGATCTGGGAGCCAAACACCCTTCCGTGAGAACAGCAAATTCTCTTAACATCTGAATTAGCTCTCCATCCCCTTGAGCTCTTGAAGTTACTGTAAAGGGCATTGCCATAGTCTCTTTTCATTATTATAACACCTCTGTAAGTCAAGAGTTATATTTATTTTACAGGTAAGGAAATACAACTCAGAGAAATTAACTGGATCAAAGACCTGCTGTATTAGTTCCCTTCCACTTGATAACAATGTACCCCAGAACCTAATGATTCAAAATAGTAACCATCATTACCTGGCAGTTTCTGTGGCTCTGATATTTGGGAACAAGTGGAGGCTTCAGGCAGAGTTCCCTAGAAGGATGTCTGTCAGGGCTGAGAAGGTCTCACTAGGGACCAGAAGATCTGGATCCAGAGAGGGTCACTCACATAGTCTTTGACAGGGAAACTCAATGAAGTCTCCAATAGGCCATTCTGTTTGTCACTGACACTTGTCAGCTTCCTCATGAGCAAGGATGGGGGAGGGTATTAGACTGTCGTTGCTGCTTTATTTTGTTAGACACAAACCCAAACTCAAGGGTTCAGACCAACACCTTCCTTTTCCCTGTAGTGCTGAGATGGAACCCAGGGCATTGTGTATGCCAGGCAAATGTTCTACTGTCAAACCCTAGCCCAGGTGCCATTTTTCAAAGCGAATATTGGCTGGGTGTGGCTGTTCACACCTTTAATCCCAGCACTCAGAAGGCAGAGGCAGGTGGATCTCTGTGAGTCTGAGGCCAGCCTGGTCTACAGAATGAGTTTCAGAACATCCACAGCTATGTAGGGAGAGCCTGCTTCAATAAATAAGTAAATGGATGTCAGTGTTCAGCCATCACAGCTAGTAAGTGGTAGAGCCAGGTTTAACCCTAGGTCTTCACACTCACCCCATCTGTGATCCCTGCTTCCATGCTTCCCTGCCTGGGCCTGCCCTTCTAAACACCCTGGTCTTCCTTGGCATTGTCACACCCACAGTGTGCCTCACATTGGCGTCCTACCCTCCACACTTCACATGACTGTGTTGAACACAACTACACTCTGGGCACCTTTTTAGGTTCTGATCCAGGGCTCAGCTTCTGTCCTGATCCCGGCACTGGGCTACAGAGTAACAAATGTGAGGCCTATGAAAGCAAGACTGGGAACTCCCAGAGTATCTGTGAGGAAGACCCACCGAAAGGTGAGATGGCTTGACTACAGGAGGGGTTGGTAGGGAGAATCATCATTCCCAGGCAAGGGGCTGCATCTTCAACCTTTTCCTTTTAGAATTTTATTATAGATATGACACTCCAGGACAAGATGACTTAAATCACAGTGGAGGATATACCTTTGTCCAGTCTCACTTCTTACATGAAAATAAAATCTCTTCGCCTTGTAAGTACATCTCCCGTATGATCCTGTCTGTGTCAATAACCGCATTTCCTGGCCCTCTCTAGATGGCTGCCTGGGTCTTCTGCTCTTACTAGATACTTCCCAATTCAGGTCTGCATGGGGGTGGCAAAGAGGCTGAGTAGGGGCTGGGAACTGGCAAATGCTATCAGTGCCGAGGAGACTGTGAAGTTAGAGATGCTGTACCAGTCAAGTTTGCGGCAAACACACACTCCAAACCAGTGAATGGCTGACTCCATTACTCTCCCGACTCAGTGTCCAGAGGCATGCTGTTGTTAATTTCCAATGTAAACATTTGCAATCTTTGGGGAAAAAAAATGGAAACTCCACATTTATTTATAAAGATGACTAAGGCACAGCACATCCCTCCCAAGACGTTTCTAATTGGAAGGGAGTTGGACCCAAGAAAGGAAAGCTCAAAGCAAATATAGTAAGTACTAAAGCAAGGCCCAAGGATGCTATGGGGACAGAGCCAGGGAGAGGCTACATCCTGTTTCATTCAGCGGCCAGACACGCCCACTCCTCTGACAGAGCATGCCCAGCCACGCCCACTTCTCTGACAGAGCATGCCCAGCCACGCCCACTTCTCTGACAGAGCAGTCCTTTCCTCCATTCCTCTAGAATTCTTCCCCTCTGAGGCAAGCACCAGGCAGAATGTCTCTCACTTTTCACAACTGCCAATGCCCGAGATCAAAGGATGTTACTTATGTGACTGAGTCAGGCACCTCTCCCACCTCCCCAGCTGACAAATCCTCGATTGGACATATTCTCCTGAAGTGAGTCACTATGATCCTGCAGAAGGCCCATAGTGGATTTCTCTACTATCTTCTTGGTCTTTGGGCCTCTCTTCTTCCTCTATGTGCCCCCCTTCTCTTATCCCCTGACACCTTCCCCATTCCTTTCCTTCTTTCGTCTTCTTTGTCTTCTTCTTTGTCTTCTTCCTCCTCCTCCTCCTCCTCCTCCTCCTCCTCCTCCTCCTCCTCCTCCTTTCTTCCTCCTCCTATGGTACCAGGAATGGAATGTGAAGCCTCACACGAGTAAGGCAAGTGCTCCATTACCAAGCTATATCCCAGTCCTGGACTTCTAATACATGTATGAGAAATGCCAGAGAGTCTCTGAGGTGGGATCCTGAACTCCCTCAGAAGACATACAGTGGCTCAGGGGGAGATACCATGAGAGGGCATCTTTCCTTCAGTCTTGGAAAAGAACCTTCAGTAAAGGGAGCTGATGGAAACACCTATCACGCTCCTCAACTGAAAGACAATGTAATCTGTCTGGTGGGTCTCTCTCTCTCTCTCTCTCTCTCTCTCTCTCTCTCTCTCTCTCTCT